TGTGTGTGTGTGTGTGTGTGTGTGTGTATGATTTGGTACACAGTAAACACAATCTGTAAACCAAACAAAGAGTGTATATTGGGATTGGGATTTTCCCCTCCACAGCTGTACGTCAACTCACTTGGAACCCCAGAGACAAGGCGAAGAGGGCGAAGCACGCGAAAAGCTCGGAGGGCCTTGACGTCAAACCCCCCAGACTTGCCTCCCGACTGGCCGCCCGAGTCAGCGTCTTTGGTTATCATCTCCAGGACCACACTGAATAAACTGCGGAGAGAGAAAGAGGAGAGGTGAGGGCAGGGTGATGACGATTGAGGGAAAGGGAGGAGGAAGAGGGCGGTGATGAAGATGTCAAAACAGTGCGAAGATGAAAGCAAAGAACAGAGAGTGAGAGAGGTGTGTTAGCTATTAACTTTCTGGTGTGCACATGTGAGTGCAGCATGATCCGTGTGTGTGTGTGTGTGTGTGTGTGTGTGTGTGTGTGTGTGTGTGTGTGTGTGTGTGTGTTCGGTCTGTGTGTATATGTCGTACATGTGTGCAAATAATTTTTTTCCCCCTACAGTCAAGCTGGTCTACTGATTAACCATCACATTTAATGAAGGTGTGTGTGTGTGTGTGTGTGTGTGTGTGTGTCTGCTGCATATCTATCCGCTTTGTCAGCAAACAACCAGAGACCAACAACACACACTGGACAGGTGCAGCACCAAGTAGTTCAGTAAACTATGGTTTAGCATAACTTCTGATGGCAGAAGAAATAGAATACCTCAGAAGTATGGTACAGTATTCCAAAGTATTACAGTAGTCCAAAAAATGAAAACTCACCCAACGATGACGATGACAAAGTCCAGCATGTTCCAGCCATTTCTGACATAGGAGTTCTGGTGCATGACCAGGCCGTAGGCAATAATCTTCAGAAATGTCTCGATGGTGAAAATGATCAGGAAGGCATATTCGACTGTTTCCTGTAAAGACGGCAGAAGCAGAACGGAAATAGAGATGCATTATGTTTAATGAAGTTTTTTTTTCCTGATCCAATATATGTTACTTTTGAATATTAGGAAGCAATTATGCACACAGGTGTAAGGCTGCTACAACTACAATTAATATGCTCAAACATTGTACTGCAATATTTAAATACCGTATTTTCCACACTATAAGGCGCACCTAAAAGCATTCGATTTTCTCAAAAGCCGACTGTGCGCCTTAAATTCCGATGTGCCTTATATATGGATCAATATTCTTGGATGTAGTATTTAAAACATTCCGTAAAACGCTTCGTTACAGCTGCAGCGGTTGTGAAAGCTCTATATAAATCAAGCTGGATTGCATTGTATTGTATTTCCTTTAGCATAGCTCCATCTTATGGATACATAATGCAACTGCAGCCACTATTGTAGCTTCTTTTCTTTTTGTTTTATAATGCGGCGTGTCCTACATATAAAAACAGTGTTAAAGTAGGCCATTCATGAAAGTGTGCTTTATACTCCGAAGCACCTTATAGTGCGGAAAATACGATATTGACTTACCTGTGCAGAGTGTGTACGTTCTAGCTTCCTTCCACATTCCAAAAACATGCACGTTTAAGCTTAATTCAAATGTCTCAACTATCCATAGGTGTGAACCTGAACGTGAGTATTTGTTCTTCTACACGTTTCCTGCAACTGGCTGGCGAGCAGTCGACGATCTCTCACCCAAATCTACACTAAGATCCAGCGAAACCCCAAGGCTAGCGAGGACCGCCGCTGTATGGATGGATGGAAAATTACCAACAACAAAAATGTTTCCTTCAGAGCATATTTCAAAGATCAGGCTTGAACAATTTACACATTTCCATGGCAACATGGAAACATGTAAATTGTTTCCATGGGTAAGAGAGATGGGTGTCTGAATTTGGACAATCCTGCACACAGTCTATTCTTTGTGTCGTCACTTAGATTTGCGTTCTCACCCACAGAAAACACCTTCATTGCTGTATTTCGCCTCCATGTGCACTCATCGCTCTTCTCCCACACACACACACACACACACACACACACACACACACACACACACACACACACACACACACACACTTAAAAAAACAAGTTTCCTGTTTTGCCTCCTTTTGTCAGTGCAGTTGTTTTAGTGGGGACAGTCAGGTGCTATCTTTAGAAGCGATTTACATTTAGCTAAAAATGCTACAGCTAATGGCTCATAAGTGACTCTCGAAATTGATAAACGGATTGGGATACAGAAAATTTTTAACTTTTTCATCCCCCTCCCCCTCCCCCTATAAATGGCACCAAAACTACTTTAGTGGTAGCATCAGTAGCCCTGTTCAGACCATCTGCAATTTTTGCTTGAGACTTTTTCAGGCCAAACAAAGCTGACACGGAATGGAGGAGGTTGAGATCAAACCGGCTTTCCGTTTTTGAGCAGAGTATTAGAAAGAAACTTTTTTTCACACCACCTGTAAATGCTGAGTTTTCCTCCTCTTGCTACATTGCTCTATTTCGCGCCCACGTGTGCGCACATCTCTCTTCCCACACACACACACACACACACACACACACACACACACACACACACACACACACACGCACACATTCAGTCTCTGTGTTCACGTCTGCATTACGCCATGCAAAAGGGTCAGCGAGTTGGCAGCTTTAGCGGCCCATTAAGCTAAGCACTTCTAAAGATTTAGAGAACCTAAACACAACAAGTGCTCTTGAACAGGACAGAACAGTCAATCATGGGCAGTAAGCAGACAGCTCTGTTTAAGATACGTCATTTCCTGCACTTCTGTACTTGTAATTGATTTTCATAACACTGTTTTCTACCGCTCATATTGTTCAGGGTCACAGGTGAGCTGGAGTGTATCACCGTCGGTTTTGGGTGAGAGGCTTGAGTACACCCTGGACTGGTCCCTCAAATTCATGCCTGTGGACAATTTCCAGTCTTCACTTAACCTGAGATGCATCTTTGTTGCATTCTTTTATACCACATGTGTCAAAGTCAAGGCCCGGGGGCGAGATCCAGCCTGCCACATCATTTTATGTGGCCCGCAAAAGCAAATCACGTGTCAACTTCCATGATCCTTGCTAAAGTCTGTACCGAAATGTCAAATTGTGATTGTGTAATAAATGATTGTGTTACCCTGTTTACACTCACTTGACCAATAATCGAACAAACAGCAAACAAATAGCTGTTTTTAAGAGCGTCACAAGGAAGCAGTGACAGGTTCGACGAAGGCTGAAGTGACAGCCAAAACTGTCAGCTAGGTAATAGTTTTTCTCTTCACCAAACGAGACCAGTGTCTTGAAAAAAAGAAACTTTAAACCTTATTTAACAAACAGATAGTTGACTTGAGTGATTACATAACTAGAAATGCATAAATCGGATGTGTACAAGTAATAATACAATGAGATGATTACGTAAACATTTATTCGTAACGGCCCTGCGAGGGAAGACATAACTCCAAAGTGGCCGGCGACAAAAATGAGTTTGATACCCCTGCTTTATACCATAGATTGCCTTCCAGTTGCCCAATATAAAAACATGAGACTGCAGACTATTGTGTGCAAACACACAAAAAATAAAAAATCATTAAGAGTAAGATGAAAGTAACTGAAACCTACGACAAAAACTTTGATGAACAGTTGTGGGAAAAATCATTACAAGAAAATTGCCTTTGGCGACAGTCATGAGGATAGGCAGCTCAGATAATGGATGGATGAATGTTATCGTAATCCCCGTATACGACCGGTATACCATGAAAATATGCTCTAAGTGGCTGGATGGACGGCTGTGAGCCCCATAGGGACATCAAAGTAAAGCTGCTGCCGAGATCGCTCACCTACATTCTGATTCTGAAATGTCTGTTGAACTGCTGACACGGGAGCCAAAGTACGGAGATTACAAGAGACCACAAATGCAGCGGTCACATGACCACTAATGTGCTCATACACGCTCACATGCAAACGATTGGAGCCCTATTTTCTGTGCCCAAGTCTAGCGCAAAGCGTGGTCCAGTGTTGTAGTCCAGACCACACCAACTGAGACAGAGCCATTATCGAGACCTGAGACGACCAAGACTACGACAAGGCTTTTGGAGGTCGAGAATGAGAAAACACCTCCAGACTGTATACATATCACAGTAAAATCACCCCAAAAAAATCTGAACCAAATGACCAGTGTATTTTTTTTTTTTACGTTTGTTGTTTTGAAAGTACAACGAAACAAATCTCAAATGTAATATTTTGTGGGCCGTTCCGTCTCCAGTCTCCTTCATCCACTATCTGTGTGCAGGCGGGCGTGGCACTCCAGGCGACACCGGGGAGGCAACGCAGCACATACATTTCTCACTGATCACAGCAGTACTAGCCTGGTCCTGATCAAAAATCCTGAGTCCACCATGTCCTAGACCGAGACAAGACAGAATAAAAATGCCTTCTATTCCCACATGACAGCGACACCATTCAATGTGGTCTTGAGACGAAGACCGATATCAAGAACTTGAACACTAGGCTGTGCGCATGCGTGGAGTTTTCTTTCTTTTGGTATTTTCATAGATGCTCGCAGTCAGAAACGGGGTTTGCGCCGTTATGGGAGTGTACACTCATGAATTGCAATCGAAGCGGCTCTTCTCATTCCCCTTAAATTAAAGCCCATGACAGAAGCATATATGGATTTGGTGGAGTCCATTCAGGAGATCGACACACTTGAAAGAAAACATACTTGTTTATGAGAAACCGCAAGAAGATCTCCACTTATGCGTGATGTTAAGTTGTCTGCTATGAGGGGGGCATTTGGAAACTGCTTTCCACCTGTAGCAATGTGTTGGGGCAGTGCTCAATTAACTTGGTGAACATCTTAGAGTCACCAATTGTAATTTTTTTACAATGGTGTAGATCAGTCGCATTTGTCTTTGGCCATTTAGGAGGAATAGTAGTATAAAAATTGGCAAAAAAAAACAAATTCCAGCCCTTCACACATCATCACAGTAATCTCCTTGTGAGCAGTCAGGATACGGTTGTCATGGAAATCAGGGTCTTTTTTTTTTTTTTTTTTTTTATATACGTGTGGGCAGTGAATGAGATTCCAAGTTGGGTCACTGACTATCTGAAATAACGACTCACATAATATCCTAATCTCAAATATTTTCAAGATTGAATTTGAGTTGAGTCTGAGAAGTCATCATTTCAGATAAAAAGTGTATCCAGTTGTGATGCAAGAAAATCTTGCATCGTCACTGTCATTCAAATTTTGAAGGGAACACCACGCTCAAAGAAAAATCATGAAAGTGTACAGCAAGGAACCAAACTGTATTTAGTCACAAAATGGATGCCATCTACCACATTACGAGCCCGTAGAACCACATGATTTTCCCTGCAAATCAGGAAAGAATGATAATGCTGACAGAAAATCACAAGACTATATTATACTTACTCAAATAGATTATTTCAAAAAACAGCAATAATGTATTTAATAATATATCAAATAAATTAAATAATAATATTTAATAATATTTAGAGAAAAGTGTGTCATGATCCTGTTCTTGTGTGTCTCCAGCAGGTGGCAAACTTCAGTGTGCACACCTGCTGCCTACCATTCGCCATGCAAACTGCCTGCAGTTTATCGGATTATTTTGACCTTGTTGCTGCGCTTGCTCAAGTGATTGTTTGCTAGACCTCTTGCTCTTGTCAGTTCCCTTAACATCACGTTTTTGTAAATGCTGTTTAGTCATTTGACTTTGTTTTTGTTATTGCGTGTGAATTGGATTCTTGACATTTAGTTAGTTTTCTCGGTTTAACTATTTCATAGCCTTTTCCAAGCGCTTTTTGGAAATGTTTTTTTTTTCCTTGTTCTTATTGACCAGCGATTTCAGTTCATACTTTGTCAGTGCGCTTTAGTTCTGGAAAATAAATATTTTTGTTGCGGAGTTTTGTTTGGTGTCTACCTTTCTGGGATCCTAAAGCTTATT